ATTTACTCAAACCTAACTGTTTTTCTTGGTTAGTCCCCATTCTCCAGCAAAGAGCTGGCTAGTTTGTGGTCACTCCCTCTGTTTTAAATACGGTATCGGAAAATTCTTCTCTTCTTCACTCCGCAGTCAGTCCGAGTCGCGTCTAGCTTGTCACTCTGGACCCCAAATTAGGTCACTGCTCACGGGATGCGATATCAAAACAAGAGTTAAAAATCATGCAACTATAGCGCGACTTCAACCCAGGGCCATGATGTTGTTTTGGGCTTCAAGAGCTGGAACAGTTTATTCAGCGGCCTAGCATTGACTGCTGAATAAATCGCCACTCTATCAAAAATTCAACACTGAGGGAAAACAAATGTTGAAACTACTACGAGCCATTTTGGGGGGAGACAGTAGTGTCGACGCTCAGGAGATAGGCTTTCTAGCAGGGGACTGTTCATTTTTCTCTTCTTTTTAACACTGCTTTCTTTCATATGGTTTCGCAAGTCAGTGACTTAGCTCAATATTACGAATACCACCTCCCTTTGTACTTTGTGTTTATTTGTTTCATTGTTTTTCGCTAATTTGTCGGTGAGAAATACGCTTCGTTTTGCAAAGGCTCGGCTGTTTATCGAACTTTCAGCCCAACACCGATCTGAAAAAACTTTTTCTGAGGCTCGCCGGAAATGCTGAGAATTATGATTACATCAAAAATCGTCTCACACAATACTGGTCAAGCTGGATAGGTGCATTGCATGCGACCACTCTCAAATATCCAAAATCGACATCCAATCGAAGGAAAATGAATGTATGGCTGATTACTTTTCCTCCACAATGATTGAATCTACCATTTTTTGCATCGTTTAGGACTTATCACCTCCATTATTTTTGTATCGCCTTTGTTTCCGTAGTAATGATCCACTTTAGATACTGATCCACTTGGGGCTGCTCACGGAGACTAGTTTACACATCGGTGAAAAATCTCGCAGTGGAGGACCATTGGGAGAATTATTGCAGTGGTCGGATCTTATCGCTTGTTTGTTTCTGTTGGGGCACAACCTGTACATATCGAATGATAAGCCTTCCCTTATTCGGTAAGTTTTTTGCTACGGTGAACTCAGCTTTTCATAATAATCTTTTGGTTGGTCGTTCAGTATGTAGAAGTAAACTGCTGCTCGTAAAAGTGAGTGCAAAAGTGATTTTGACTGTTGGTGTTTAGTGGCCTTTTTTGAAATTTTATTTGTTTATATTTCTTATTTGTTTAGGCATGTGGATAAATTTCCCTTTGACGGACCCTGCCCTAGTAAACAAAGACGTGTGGATCTTATCATCACTGATATTATTGGCTTGAGATCGTTCCGGTCGCGAAGAGAATTCCTTTTGCGGAACAAGTATGTCTGAGTAAGGCTGGTGTCAGAGTCCGCGATTCGATTTGCGCGATTTGTCGCGATTTTCGCGATTTGCGCGATTTTCGCGATTTTTGCGCGATTTTCGCGAAACCTGCGATGGATCACAGGAGTTGGAAGTGCCCGATGAATACTGCGAGGTGTTGTTTAATCCTGCTGCGAATTCTGCTTGGCAGTAAAGATTGGAAGACGAATGTTTGTGGTTCTACTTGTTTCATGTTCAATGTCTATTAGTTCATTGAAATGCTCTTGAATCGTTCCTTTTTTTTTTTTCAGGAATCAAACCAAACCAATCACAAAAATTGCAAGTGCCCCATTTGAACAATTGAAACACTGGATATGAAACAAGTGGAATCATGAGCAGTCTCCATTAAACCATAACCATCAAGCAGAAGTGACGGCGGGATTGGAGAACACCTTGCAGTATGGATGGGGCACTTGTAATTTCCGTGACCCGTCGCGCAAATCGCGAAAATCGCGCAAATCGCGCAAATCGCGCAAATCGCGAAAATCGCGCAAAAATCGCGGACTCTGACACCAGCCTAAATTACTTTGTCTCAGGAAATTACTTCATTTGATTTATCACTGGTTTGTTCTCTTATAACTTTAGCGATGCGTATTTCAGTTTTGGAGCGGTTGTTGTTTACAAAGGTTGAAAAATTACAGGTGTTTGATACGTCTAGTCGACAGCTTCGGAACGCATGTGGAGTTTAACTATAGATCTTACTTCAAAGCACACCAAGCTGATTTCGCACAAAACGGTAAGCTGCTTTTCCGAGGTGTTGGCCCACAACTTTTTGTCAAAATTTCCCTACTTTGCAGTAATGTTTAAAATTTTTACCATTTTGTTATTACCAATTTTGGTCGGAAGCTCATCACTAAACTATCATTTTCTCAACTATTTGGCATTAGTGACTTGAGCATTCTGACCAACAGGGTGAGGGGGTGGTTGTGGCCAAAAAGAGCACCTTACCCGTGGCTCAAATCAAGAAACTCTTCGTGGCACAGGGTGCTGCCGTTAGAGAAACGTTTGTAGCCAAAATTCTTCAGTCTCTCCATAAGAAGGAACACGCTCTCTTCACTGCCCCACCGTTTCCAGAATATGACGTCATCTGCCATCACCGTCGAGCTCAAGGAGGCTTACCGTAATCGCTCCAGCCTGAAGCTGCTACATAATTTCTTCAATCGGTTAACTGGTAGATAGCTTTCTAAAGACAGTAGCTCTGCCTATGCAAGACCCTTTCCGACCAGCTTTGTAAACATCGCCGTCTACTACAGTCGAGGACTTCGTTTAGCTCGAACCTGGAAGCTTCCAGCTCCCGTGGAAAATTCTTCTGAAATCCTTATCTAGAAGGCTGAAGGCTGTTGTGAAGCTTTGAAGTTTGGATTGTGATTTTCGATTTCCAGTTAGAGAATATGATGGGTCTTAGCAAAGCGTGATTAATTCCGTTTTGAAGTGGGGGGAGAGTCACTTTTTGGCCTCACCCTGTATTCACACGAGGGTCGTGTAAATAGGCCGAAGTGGAAGGGTTTGCTTAACTATGCCGTTAATTCTGTTTTCCCTCAAAATAACGTACACTTTCCACAGTATGACACAGTTGATATTCTTCCTTTTTGAAAAGTGGATTTTGGAAGTTTGCGTGGTGCAGGAGGAGAAGTGTGAGGACATATGGAGGTTCATAAAGTGGCGTGGTTGCGCTCAAGAAATCTCCCGTCACTATGCCTGATCCTGTTGAAGTGCTTGTAGAATTGAAGCTCATGGCTATGAATATTTTTATCCATATGTTTATAACTTGCAGGAGGCGCTTCCTCTAATCCTTGGGGAGGACATGGACTAAAACTCCTACAGCACTGGACCTTCTTCCCGCATACACCCGATAACGATTTTCTTGGATTTGCCATTCATCATATTGATGTAGAGCCACTTTACAATCGAAATGCCCTCGATCGCCCAATATCGCTGGTGTATGGGAAGGAGAAGTATATGTGGACGGAATCGGAGCCCGTTATAGAAGTTCTGAAGTCTTTAACGGAGGTTAGATTTTGTTGAAACGAATAGTCCAGTCGAGTTGATAGCTGAAAACTGTTTTTATTTACTACTTTAGGTGCACGCTACTGTTTCTGATCTAAAGAATGCCAATGAATCGGTGTTCTCTGGCATCGTCAATCATGGTTTCCTAAACATAACAGAGGTGGCAGCTCTCCTGAAATCGGCCAGTGTCTTTGTAGGCCTCGGATTCCCATTTGAAGGTATGTGTACATATCATAGATGTATTTGATGACGTTTCAATTTTTAAAAACTTTGTTCTTCATTCGAGCTGGAATTGTTGTTTTCGTATTTGCAAGTATCAGTGACGTTTTGAGGTCCGGCTCCATTGGAGGCTATATCGCATGGTGCAGTGTTCATCAATCCAAAGTTTAAACCTGCTAAAACCCGGTTGAATACGGCGTTCTTTCGGGACAAACCAACATTGCGTGAGGTAGGCCAATAAGGATCTGCCTTTTTCTTGGATACTTCCAGCTTCTGAAAATGTGAAATTAGCCGAATGATGCTAAACAGCTGTAATGTGTTCTCTTTAGTTCACCAGCCAGTCTCCTTATATGGAACGCATTGGGGTACCGTATGTGTACACTGTTGACTTCAACAACACTGACGAATTGGAAGATGCCATAAAGCGGGCATTAAGTGAGCAGGTTGGGTATTTTTTTTTGTGAAGGAGCACTACCTTGAGTTCACTTTTTCTCAACCAACTATGTGTATTTGTTGGACAAGTACATATCAGAGCAGGAACCCAAAAGCAGGGGTCGAAGAGATAATTATGCGTGTTGGAACCGAAGTTCCACAGTTTCGTGACAGCCGTAGGTGTTATTTAGAAGCTGTGGCGATTGATCGCCCCAATTACATGACTGCTAGAATTTACTACTATAGATTCTAGCCTTCATCCAAACAACAAAAGGGTGTTGACCACAATTCACCTGCCATCTTGCACGATTGAACCATCTTCTCGCTGAGGATGTTCAAACGTACACTTCCTTCTGAACACAGAAGGGCGACCATCGCGTGAGCCACGCTTAGGCCAACGTGCATCTGTAGTCGTCTTGTACGAACTACTGCACAACTACTTTCCACACGGGGAAAGATCCACTCTTCAACTGGTGAAGAGAACGAAGCTCGCATCGTGCGACGCTTCTGGAGCCAGGGAAGCTTCTAGTACGAGGAGTCTGTCATCAAGCCACTCGCGACGACGTCGGGTCACTCCCCTCGGAGATCCGATCTGCCCACATTTCGTGAGCTCGGCGAAACTCCAAATTCACTAATCAGCTCGGTGACAAGACGGATCGATGGTGCGTGGCTAGGTATATGACTATGTGAGACATCTCAAGTACCTAAGGAGACACCAAGGGATACTAGTCTGCACCTGCACTTTTACAACCACACGTAGCCCATCTCTGTGCGAGATGTTTCAATACTCACAAGTTAAAACTTGGGTGATTCAGTAGAACTGATTTAGGTTACTCAGATAGTAGTACATGAGCTCCTTTCTTTCTTCTTCATAGTTGATTCAGTAGTGCAATTTTAATATTTTCTTCTGCTTTTTTTTTCAAGTGATGCCTTGCCCATCACCTTTATTTCAGCCTCAGCCATTTGTACCAGAAGAGTTCAGTCCACAAGGGATGCTGATTAGGGTGAATATATTGATTCATCGTGATTTGTGTAGTGGCGCATCGAAATGGCCTCCAATCAGTGCTCTCGAGGTACATTTTGCATTGTTTTTACTTTCAAGAACGAGAGGCCAGCAAATTTCCTGAGACTCATCTATTTACTTTGCGGTTTGTGAACGCCGTGGTCATCCAGCATTTTATTACATTTCTGGAGACATCGAAAGCCTTTTTTAACCGTGTTACTAACTCTGAATTATACTTGCAGCCGAAATTAGGCGCTCAAGGCGAGTCATGTGAAATGGCATGCGATTCTGCGGACTTGGTGTGTGAG